GTTGAACCCGGGCGTTTGTTCCTCACTGCCTACTCGGATGCTTCATATGCATCAGAACCAGAGGACATGACAAGTGTGGGAGGCTTCATATGCTGTGTTGGTGGAGGCCCAACTGCTTGGGAGAGCAAGAAGCAGGTTGACCAAGCTTTGAGCTCGGTGGAGTCCGAGTACATGGCACTCTTCCGTGCCGTACGGGAGATTGTGTGGCAGCGGCGTTTGTTGGCTGAATTGGGGGAGGAGCAGCAAGGACCTACCCCACTGTACTGTAACAGCCAGGGTGCCATTGCTCTTGCTAAGAACCCTGTGTTGCATGGACTCACGAAGCACATGAGGGTGAAGTGGCATTGGACGAGAAGCATGGTAACCGCGGGTGAAGTTGAGTTGCGCTACGTGAAGACCACGGGGCAGCCGGCTGACATGATGACCAAGAGGCTGGTGGAGCAGCAGCATTGGAAGTGTTGCAAGCTGGCTGGGATGGCTCTGAACTGAGAGAGCAACATATCCTAAGGCCAACAATCCGAGGGGGAGTTTGTTGGTGCAACCCTACGGTTTGCACTCGGCTTGTTGTCCGTGTGCGTGAATGTGTGTGTGTATGGAATGGTATGAGGGCATGGGATAATATATATTTGATGCTTATAATTGTGTGTGAATGTTGAGTCATGATGTCGAGTGTGTGTGTCGAGTCAATAGCGAGTTATCGCTAGACGCGTGTTACGCGGTCGTTTGTGTCTCGCGCGCGGTTTCTATTTTGTCGTGCGCGGTTTCTATTTTGTCCTGTGTCGAACGTTCGGCGTGTCGCAGGTGTGTGCAGCAGACCCATCAAGAACTCAAGGATGAGTTTGTGATGAAGAGCCCGAGCCTTGGTGTCAAGCCTCAAGTGATTTCGAAGCTTGCCAAAAGGGTACACCTCAAGATATTGAAGATAGTTACATTACTTTGTGTAGTGTAACATTTCACTTGGTGTAGGCCCTAGTGAAGGGTAGTTTCGAGACCCTTCGTGGTTGGGGACAGTGTGGCACTGTTCCACATCACTGTACCTCGGCTCTTGGGGTTTGTAGGAGCTGGAAGTCATTCCCAACTCGTAACTCTTCCTATCTTGCGTTCTAAGACTATAGTGGCTGCCATAGTACCGTTCGTTCAAACCGACGCTGTGTCGTCAATTCTTTATCAAATCGTGCAATCTAAATTGCTAATTGTAGACGACGTGAAGATGCTCCAGATCCAATTTGAATCAAGTCATTTGCAGCTGTGAGCAGAACGCTATCAACGTTTGAATCCGCTGTGCAGAAATCCGTCTGTGCTCTCTATCTTTCGTTTTAGGCACATTCAAGCCTATTGTGACTATAACAGGAACGGGGCCTAGCGCGGGCTAGGTACGGGGCTGGGCACTGGCAGGAACGGGGCCGGGCGCTGGGCAGGTACAGGGCCGGGCGCTGGGCAGGTACAGGGGCCGGGGCGCGGGCTAAGTACGGGGCCGGGCGCGGGCGTTATACGGGCCTGGCGTGGGCTAGGTACGGGGCTAGGCGCTGGCGACAGACTGGGCCGGGCGCGAGCTAGGTACGGGGCCGGGCGCTGGCTAGGGTCGGGGCCGGTCGCGAGGCTAGGTACGGGCCGGGCGCGGGGCTAGGAACGGGGCCGAGCGCGAGGCTAGGTACGGGCCGAGCGCGAGGCTAGGTACGGGCCGGTCGCGGGCGTCGACGGGGCGCGGGCTAGGTACGGGGCCAGGCGCGGGTGTCGACGTGGCGATCGCGGGCTAGGTACGGGCCGGGCACGGGCGTGAGAAGGCACGGGCCGAGGGGCCAAACACAGGGGCCGCCGAGCGCGGGCTAGGTACGGGCCAGGCACGGGCAGGAGACTGGTCCGGGCGCAGGCTAGGTACGGGCCTATCGCGGGCGCGGTACGGGCGGGGCGCGGGGCTAGGAACGAAATAGTAGGTGTTGGGCCCAAGAGTAGCCTACTCTAATACCATGTTAGAATACTAGCGAGAATGACGAGAATGGATGACTAGGAAAGGGGGAGGGGTACAAGTACAATGTCAAGAGAAATTGGGTATCCCCTAAGGCTAAACCCACTATAGCCTAGACAACTGTAAACACATAGACTAAGCCTAGATACAACTAAGCATATATGTTTGACAAATCACGCACCGGCTACATCTATCGACTTGAGCCCGTCGGTCCTATCTCGTGGTATTCGACCAAGCAAGAGCTAATTTTTCTCTCTTCAGCTTAAGCAGAATACATTGCACTCTGCTCAGCCACCAAGGAAGGACTGTACCTTCGCAAACTACTGGAAGAAGCAAAACTGACCCAGTTACCCAGCTTCTCCCTCTTCTGCGACAACTAATATGCAATTCGCATAGCGAACAAAAACGGGTTCGCGAACCGAACGAATCACATCGCCTTTGTGAAGATGAGCAGTAGAAGAAGGCGCCATAGCTAGGAAAGCCCTAGCTAGGCAAGAAACAGTTTAGGCAAAAGGGGAAGGGGTTGCACTAGCAAGAATGAGGATACAAATAGCAAACCCTAGAAGGGTTGTACTCGCTATAGAGCACCCCACTACAGGCTAGAGCATAATATTCTGACACACCCCCATAGCCAAAGTGGGGTGTAATCAGCAGAGCAAGCAAAGCAGAACAAGCTCAGGGTGGATCACAATGTCACCACACATTCTGAGCACAAGTTCAGGAAGCAATAGTTTAAAGTTCACAATTATGAGCAAAGCTAGTGGTAGTCACAACGGGCAAGTGAGGAGGAGGAGGGACAATGAGAGGAGAGGAGATAGGAGGCGACGGCTGAAGCTGCAGACACACGGGCAACAGGAGGCACACTGGCACAGCGGCTACCGGAACAGCGCTCCGGACTACTGGAGTAACTGGCCCCGCGGCTAAAAGTAGCGGCAGACGAGCAACGGACCCACGGGCGACTGGCACAGGTGGCTACGACTGGGCTACCGGAGCAACTCCCCGGACTACAGGTGCTGCTGGCGACACGACGGCAACCTCCGTTCAACCTCCCCCAAACAGTACCACCCCCCCTGACACACACCCCCTGCTTCACCCCTAGCTCCACTCCCCCTTCACCCCCCCTTAGTACCACTCCGACGGCTCCAACAGGTCCACCCCCCTTCAGCGGTAGCTGCAGCACAGGGAGACGGAGGAGGAGGAGGAGCAGGGAACGGCACACAGAAGCTGCACCCCCATACCCCCCACCCCCAAACCCTAATCCAGGAGAACAGGCAGAAGGAGGGGTGGGGCGCCTTCAGAAGCACGGGGGACAGCGGGGAGGACAGGGGCAGCGAAGAACGGGCCGCCCACGGGCCTGGCACAGCCTCCCGAACCGCGCGCAGGCGGCCCGAGCCGCGCGCGGGCCTGGCGCAGTCCGTACGGGCCGCGCGCGGGCCTGGCGCAGCCCGTACGGGCCGCGCGCGGGCCTGGCGCAGCCCGTACGGGCCGCGCGCCGGCTGTACGGGCCGCGCGCAGGCCACGACGGGCGACGGGGGGCGACGCGCGGGTCCCCGTCGCCCGTCGTAGCGCCTCCTGGGGGCGACGCGCCGAGTGACGGGGCAGAAACCCGTCGCGCGCCTCGGGGCGCACGGCGGGCAGAAAACCGCCGCGCGCCTCGGGGCGCACGGCGGGCAGAAAACCGCCGCGCGCCTCGGGGCGCACGGCGGGCTGAAAAACCCTAATTTCGACACCGCGCACCACGGGGCGCGCGGCGGACAGGGAGTAGCAGTAGCAGCGGAAGCAGTGAGGTGGGGCCCACAGGCCAGGAGCATATCGCTCTAATACCATGTGAAGATGAGCAGTAGAAGAAGGCGCCATAGCTAGGAAAGCCCTAGCTAGGCAAGAAACAGTTTAGGCAAAAGGGGAAGGGGTTGCACTAGCAAGAATGAGGATACAAATAGCAAACCCTAGAAGGGTTGTACTCGCTATAGAGCACCCCACTACAGGCTAGAGCATAATATTCTGACAGCCTTGCAGTACTTCTTCGTGAAGGACGAGATCGAGAAAGGGAGACTCGAGCTATCCTACTGCCCCACGTCCAAGATGGCAGCAGATTACTTGACCAAGAAACTCGGAAAGCAGAAGTTCGAGTACTGCATGCTGCTGACTGGACAAAGCCACGTCACCAGCAACGAAGGCGATGACACTCGAGAAGCGAAGGGGAGTATTGGAAACATATAGTTCGCGCTTCTGATGTGTCGAGCACTACAATGTAAGCGAAGCTAACTACAGCGAAGTAACAGCGAGTCAACCAAAGCGGTTGACAAAAAGCAACAGCAAGAGGTTAAGCGAAGGTCAAAGGTCAGCGACTTTTGACTTGCCGAAAGCAGCGCGACAGTAAGGACACATAACTGACTCGCTATTGAGCAGTTACCCGAGTCGTCGCTGTATCGAACCGCAACAGCAGTCACAGCTAGTTAAACCTTTCATATTCCTTGTAATCATATAAAGCCCTGTATCTCTTTGCTATTAGCAACTTATCTTGTTCTCACACACCAGTGCAAGGTGGTTCAATCAACCAGTTCACTAAGATGCTTCCGCTAATACATCATTATCCTGAGCCTTAGTCTTGACAACGATCTTAAGGGTGTTTCTCAGCCCAACAGGGTTTATACTAGGTACATTTGCCAACGAAGTACAGTAGATTGTTTAAAGACTGCAATTCAGTGCTTGCCACTGAAATACAACTGCCATTACACTGGCAAAGCACAGTAGATCTCATCTCAAGCCCCCATGTGTTGTGATGGGGCCAATGTCCCACATCATCCATCCATCCATCCATTCACCCATAGTGTTTCCAACTGAACAAACGAATGCGAATTGTGACAATATTTTAAGAGTGTGCAGTGCAGTTGTCATAGTACCAAACAAAAAATCTCATACCCCCAAACAAAAAATATCATACCGGCACCCCTTTGTCATGGCAACGAATAATTCCCTGCAATGCCGGTCCGGTCATGCACAAACACACACGCATGGAACCCTTCAGGGAGCTTTACTCGCTCCGAGCGCCCTTCCCTTGTCGCTCCAGCACCACAGCGATGTGGCACTGGGCACATGAGTTGGAGCCTATGGCAGCCATGACGATGTCAAATGGCTCCCCAACAGCTTTGAACATAACCTGCTGCCGCTGACCGTTGGGGTCTGATGCCCACGCTGACGTGGCAAGCAGCCTGTCTCCGGGCTGGATGGGTGGGTCTGCCTTGTCAGCGTTGCCACGTGGCACGAGCTCGTCCACTAGAACTGCTCCGTTGCGGGCCTCTGGTAGATGGTGCGGTGTGGTGTGGTGTGGTGCAGTGAATGCCGTGAGACGCACGGGAGTAGGATTTACCGGTTGGAGGGGAGAAGAGTGTGGGAGTGGTGATGGGAAAAAAGGGGGAATGCAGGAGAGAGGAAGATCGGGGGAGACGAGAGGGAAGGTTGAGACAAAGGGAGGGAGGGAGGGAGAGTGAAAGGGAGAAAGGAAGAGAGGGATAGAGGGAGAGAGAGAGAGGGGGAGAGGAAGAGGGAGGGAGAGGGAGAGGGAGAGAGGCAGGAATAATTTAAGAGGGGCAGAGGGAGGGAGAGGGAGAGAGAGAGAGAAAGAGACAAGACATAGAACAGTGCTACCACTGAAAGCATTTATGAAAACAAGATCCATACAGAACAAGCATATATTGAAAGTCACATGTACAACCAAGCTTCCAGTCAACCATGTCGTCTCCTCCAATCCAAACCATCCCAATCCAGTTGTTCGAGGCAAACAACTTCCCTAGCAACATAACAAGCTTGTTCTTAGACAGCAACCAATCACAAGTGCGACACAATCGGCACATCTAGGTACCGTACGTCCATGCATGCCACGAGCAGCACTCGGATGCGTTTCCCTGACAATGACCCTCTGTACCTTGTAGCAGCGCCGACCCCACCTATCCCCATGCCCATCCCACAGCGAAGCGAGTCGCTTCAACAACAATTCATGCCGTGCCTCCTTAACTCGCGCAGCTTCTTCTCATCCCATGACCCCCTATGTGTCTTCTCCATGCAAACTTTTCCCCAATTGAGATAGCTCGATGTCTTCCCCTTCGAGATTCGCCTTCTCCCCACCAACGGCACTCGCAATGCTCGTCCTTCGTTCGTTCGCCCGTTCATCCATTCGTCCGCGCGTCTACAGGTCGCATTCGTCGGGTCGCTCCAGCACCAGGATGACATCTCCGCCGTACGATGCGTTCGACGAGATCGCCGCCATGACCGTCTCGAAGCGCTCGCCAGCGACGTTCAGCACCACCGGCTCAGTAGCCCACTTGGCGGCGCCGCTCGTCGCAGTGCTTCGCGCGGTCGTCGCCAGCAGGCGGTCGCCCGCGCGCACCTTGTGGATGGGCGCGTGCTCCGCGTGCCCGCCGTGCTGCACATCGTCCACTAGGATGTCGCCCGTCGCATTCTCTGATATCCATGGCACATCATGCGACATCATGCGACATGCGACGTGCGACATCATGCGACATCCACGAGCGAGAGTGGGTGCGAAAAACGCGCGGTTTTAGCTCCCATAGCACTCGGCTAGGCGAAGAAATGAGGGATTTAAGCCCAGCGTCGAAGGATGGAGAGTTAGCAGTGCGACATTCGTGCGCCATGCGAAACGATGCGACATGCGACAACCCAACAAAGAAGCTTCGCGGTTTGGCGAGTCAATCCTATTCGTGCCGTGCCGGGCCGTACACCGAACCGCAACCGTGGACGAACCTGACATAAGAGCCGACGTCGCAGGCCGAAGGGCTTCCACAGTCGACAGAAAGTTGCACCAAATGGCGAGAGCCAAAAACAAGGAGACCAACACTCCGTCGCGCACTTACCATCGAGGATTTAACGTTGCGCAGGCGCCGTCGTGCAGAGAACATCCAGGCATTCGAGTAAAAAAAAAAAACTCTTCTTGGTCAGAAAGACCGGTAAGCACGAGCGTTCCGCACTAGCGGCGCACCTTTAAAGACTATGCCGAGCGGCTTGCCGAGCGGGACCCAGTAGACCTCGCCGCCGTGCGATTCGACCTCGAGGTTCTCGCGGTGGTCGCCGAGGTTGACGCGCACGAGCACCTTCTCCTTTTCCTCACGATGCACGGACCGCTCCATCGCCACGCACGTCAGGCGCCGCGGCGACGCGCGCGTGACGACTGCGCGAGGAGCTCGCGCTGCGACTGGCGACGCGCGCGCAACCAGCTGGGACGACCATGCGAGGGAGGTTGGGGAGGCGAGAAGCGACGCCATTGCTTAGCGTAGAAGATGTTGACGGGCCGGTGTGTCTGAACGATGACGGAAGGCGTGATGCCCTTTGGAAATGCAAAGCAAATCCTTCTGGCAACAAGATTCGGCAGTTTGTCGTGGTCTCAAGGTTGCGCAGGCGCAAGAATGCAGGAGGCTGGGAAATGTGTGAATTGTGAAATGCAAGCAGCTCTACGTGCAAGAATTGGGCGGGGCGCATTTATGCAAATTTCGAACCACTACGTGCCGGGTGGATAGGGGGAGGTGGGGGGACGAGAGGGGGAATGCGCTCGCGTTTATCGGAATTGTACAAGGCGCACGAGGAGGTGCATGCGGGGAGGGCGCAAGAGCCGATGCCAGCGCGGACGATTCGTGCCACCAAGATTCCTGGCTGGGCGCGTTGCATTCTTGGCAATCTTGAAGGATGCTTGGCGGAGGTGCCACCAAGCGCAGCGCGATTGGGAGATGCCGCCAGAGCGCAGCGCGGTGACACCCTTGGGAGGAAGGGAGTTGCTTGTGCCAGTTCTTATTGTGTGTTGTACGTCCAGCGAGGCATGCCACGTCTGAAGAATCACGCAGCTGTCTGCTCGACCACGCATAAATGACGTGGCAAGTAGTGTCGTCGTGTCATATGAATATGAATATCGATTTCAATTACTCCGATATTTCATTGAGTGCCCTCATGCCGGTGTTTCAAGAGCAACGTTACTCGTACTACAACTGAATGCAATAGGACAAACACCCTGCAGTAATGCAGATACGGTATGGACATTTATATTAGCTCATTCACAGTGTACATCATTAACCGAGTTTGACACTGCTAGTCGAACTCATCAAAGGACGCATGAGGCCCACAAGTGCATCCAGGCGCATCAACATCCACGGCGCCACAGCAGTCCCAGAATCTGAGGAGCCCTGTGCCATGCACTACACTCAGCTGGTCCTCCGGGCGGCTGCTGGCTCTAGTGAACCCCACGGCCTTGCCCCTCTCTCCCCCTGTGAACAAAGCAGGGTGGTACCTGAAAGCAGGGTGGGAAGAAGTGACAACGCATTTATATTGTCTAAAAAATCGTCTCACTTCTGAGGTGCCTCATAATCATATAATTAAAAAATCGTCTCACTTCTGAGGCGCCTCATAATCATATCATATCACGGGGTGTGGGAGGTGGCAGGGAACTTGAGATGTAATGAGAATCTGAGAGGAATTGAACGGCTAAAAAAAGAAGCGAAGCGGGAGGAGAGAGGGATGAAGCACCAGCACTTGAAATGGCAGCAGCACGAGCAGCATTAGAGAATCCCTCACAAGGTCGCCAAAGCCACGCATCTGGCGAAGCTGGTGATGCCAGTCGCAAGAGGGTGGCAGGCCATCCATCCAGGAGGGCAGTACCTTGGGGTGAATCAGGCCACAACAGAACATCAGGCTCGTTTCACGTCTTCTGACGTCCATACCTCCGTGCTTCCGCGCCTCCGCGCCTCTACACGCGCAGCAGTCCAGCTGCAACCCCCTTCCATCCCCATTCACCTGCACGCGCGTGCGTGGTTGCGACGCGGGTCATACGCCTCTCTGCACCGTCGACACGTCTTCGTCTCGCCGCTCCCACTCCCCGCCTCTGCGCTCAAGCCCGCTGCCCCGCCGCTAACGCCCTCGCGCTCTCCAGCTGCGGGGCTGGCCGCGGCGGTGCGATCGTGCGCCTGTCCGTCTCCCCCCGCCACCGCCGCCGCTCTCACCGCGCCTGCACGTGCCTGTGAAGGGAATGTGCGCGCGGAAAGCCGCGGCAGGACGGCGGAGGGCGGCGGCGGCGAGGAGGTGCGCAGTGCGGTCAAGTGCGGCTGCGGAAAGGCCCGCGTGTTCATTTTCGGGACTCCCGCGACGACGACGATGACGGTGGCGGGTGAAGCACGCGCGCTCAGAGATACGATCGACACGATAAACGTCCGGTTTGCGTCATTTGAGTAAATGGGATGGACAGAGGGAGGGAAAGGGGAAGGTGTGCGGGAAAGGTCAGGGTTGGCGGGCGTGACTGTCAGGAAGGTGTGAGGGAAAGGGGCAGGAGTGGCTGTCTGCTTGGCGAGGTTGGGTGGGCAGGAAAGGTCGGGTTCAGATCAGACGAGACAGACAGACAGCTCTTGTGCGGTACAGTGGTGTTCAGGACTCGTCCCCTCCCTCGATCGATCCTGCGCAGGTTCGATTTTTGGTCTGGTCTCGACAGGTTCAAAATGCTAATCCTGCAAAAAGCAGGATTTTAGTGGGGCGGAGGGTAGATGCACCTCGATTTTGCACGATCGATCGAGGGAGGGGATGCGTCCTCAGCGGTACCGTCAGGTTCCTCGCTGAAATTTTGGCGAACGTCGCCAACACGAGTGTCAACGAGAAAGGTTTTGGGAGGGAATCCATCCTGAATTGCGTCGTCGCCCTTGTTCGCAACCCATTTCTGCGATCACGACAACGTTTCGTTGGGTGGGGTGTGACGAACATTGAATGGGGTCGGGCTGCGGGGGTGGTTTGAGTGGTGAAGATTGGTGAATCGTGGCATCCAGCATGAACCGCACGCCACTCCAGCTCTCCTTTCCGTTTCTCCGAATAACTAATTTTCAGCCCATCTGCTGTGGTGAAAGCCTGTGCGCTGCGTTATGACAGGCGCTATGCATCGCGATCTCGTTGCCGTGTCAGCCACGCTTCGCCCGCGCGCCTTGCGCCCCTCACTGCAACACTGTCCTCTTCGCTTGCACCGCATCGCCTCCTTCTCCTGATCGCCCAGCTCGCTCCTCGCCTCACGTCGCCCGCCGCAACCCCCGGTGCCCATCTCACCCACTCGCCGCGTGACGTGCCAGCAGTGGCAGCAGCAGCAAGGGCGCCGCGCCTTATCTCATCCCCTATCCACCGCGATCGCCGCTCGTCTGTGTCGTCACGGCCACTGCGATCGCGGCTCAGCACTTGTACCACGTCGCGCCTCGCGACGACGCGACGCGCCATGGACTATTACGCCGTGCTGGGCGTGCGGCGCGACGCGAGCTCGCACGAAATCAAGGTGCGACGATGCCTCTCCTTTCCCTCTCGCCCCACTTTCCCCGTCCGCCTTTCCTCCCCCCACGCACCCCACTCCCCCACAATGACGCGGCATGCTGCGAGCCGCTGCAATTATCCGCCACGCTGGTGCCATCACTAGACCGGGTCTGCTGCTCTCTTCCGCACAGTTCCTCCGAATCGCGTCTGCCGAATTTCGCGGTTTGCGGATTGCGGATTGCGGGAACAGTGCGCTGGGCACTGGAGAACAACAGCGGCGCGACCCACCAGCTCTTGAGGCGCTTCAAAACGCAAAAGGGCACCACAGAACGGGTCTGTCCCCAGCCGCAACATGGAACGCCCCTCTCGCGCATGCCACCCCATCCACCCGCACGCCCCTCCGCACACCATCCGCCCGTATCCTCTTGCGTCGCCTCTTGCCGCACCTCTCCGCACAGCCCTGCCTTGCGCGTGTATGCATCACGTTCCGCGCATGCTCCCCTCCGCCACTCCCTGCTCACTCGTTCCCGCCTTCTCCTCTCACTGGCACCCCGCCCCTCCCGTCTGCCTTCCTTCCCCCCTCCCTCTCCCCCCATCCTTCACGTTGCTCTCCCTCCCTCCCTCTGTCCCCCCTCATCTTCCCCCGCCCCCCTTCCCCATGCAGCATACAAGTGAAAGGCCTTAAAGTGCCACCCTGGCCCCCTTTTGGCCTTCTCTTCCTCCTCAATCCCCCTTCCCGTCCCTCTCCATCCCCCCCTCTACCCCCCCCACCCCTGCCTCCCAGGCGGCGTACTAGGTGGCGGCCATTGAAGTGCCACCCTGACCCCCTTACCTCCTCCCTTGCTCCTCCCACCCCCCTCCCCCCCACCCCCCCCCGCCACTGTGCTCCTCCCCGTCCTTCCCCCGCACAAACCCCTCCCAGGCGGCGTACAGGCGGCAGGCCATGAAGTGCCACCCGGACCGCGTGCATGCTGCTGGTAAGGGCGCCACCAGGGGCGCACAGGACGCCGCTGCTGCTCGCTTCCGAGCCATCGCCGAGGCGTATGAGGTGGGGTGGGGGAAAGGGGGAGAGGCGGGTGGGGGTAAGGGGGATGGAGATGGGAATGGGAGCCAGGTGGCAACGGGGAAAGGGAGATCGGAGAGGGTGGAGTGGAGCAAAGGAGTCTGTAGGAGAGGGGCGCAGATTCTGAGTGCAGGTGGAGTGCAGGAGTGAGGTTGCTTGCAGGTGGAGCGGGTGGACGAGACAAGGGGTGGTGCAAGACGCAAATGGGACAGAGTGGAAAGGGTCGTGTTGGTCCCTGCATGGCATGATATGATATGATATGATATGATATGATATGATGCTCCATGCGGCTGGGAGTCAATCTGGGACCATCCCAGATATGACTGGGATTCTCCGGTCAATCGGGAGATAGGAGAATCATTCATATCTAGGACGAGGCTTGACTGGCTTCTCCATTGCCAGTCAAGCCTCGTTCAACCCAATGTGTTGTGTCCCTCACACGGCTGTCCTTCCCTTCTTTCAGACGATGCCAGCCCTGAAACGGCTCAAGAGTCACAAGGCAATGTTTTCGTGAGTGTGCCTTGACTGTTCTTTCCCTCTCTCGCTCACTTCCTCTCTTCCCTCCCCCAACCTCCTCCTTTTCAGGTGCTGGGCAATGAGGCGCGCAGGCGTGCATACAACAGCCGCCGGCACGCGTGGCGGCAGCGGGCGGGCCATGGGGGCACGTGGGACTCATGGCAGAGGCAGCACAGCCACGCAGAGTGGGACGCAGGGCGAACGGACGGTGGGCGCAACAGCAGTGGCGGTAGTAGTGGCAGTGACAGTTACTGGAAGCAGCAACAGCAGCAGCAGCAGCGGTGGCAGCAACAGCACTATCGGCATGGGCAGCAGAGGTGGCAGCAGCAGGAGGCGGGTGGAGGGGCGTGGGGGCGTGCATGGTGGAGGTGGGGGCGAGGGGGATGGGTGGCGGCAGTGAGCAGAGGCATGGGGCCTGCTGACCTCGCCTTCCATGCTGCCATTGGCAGGTGGGACGCATGAACTCTTGATTGTGGTGTGCTGTGGTGTGGTGTGCTGTGGTGTGGTGTACTGTGGTGTGATGTGGTGTGCTGTGCTGTGGTGTGCTGTGCTGTGGTGTGAGTGAGGAGGGTCCGTGCAGGCATGCCAGCCATAGAGTAGGGCTCTGTGCTTCGCTGTGCTGTGCTGTGCTGTGCTGTGACGTGCTGTGACGTGCTGTGCTGTGCTGTGACGTGCTGTGACGTGCTGTGCTGTGCTGTGATGTGCTGTGCTGTGCTGCGCTGTGCTGTGCTGTGCTGCGCTGTGCTGTGCTGTGCTGTGCTGTGACAGGCCGTGCCGTGCCGTGCCATGCCGTGCTGTGCCGTGCCGTGCTGTGCCCCAGTGGTTCCATATTCCCTTGTCTGCACCTCATCCTGTGCTCGTACAGGCCACCACATCAGCCGTGCACCACAGCTTCGCTATTCTTTGCAAAGTTTTCTGATTGATAAAAGTGCTTTTACCCATTCCTGATACACCAGTACCACCATCCACACACCCACCCACCCACCCCACCTACCCACCCACCCACCCACCCACCCACCCACCCACCCACCCACCCACCCACCCACCCACGCATGCTTGTGTGCGCCCTGCAGCCTTATTGTGGGCGGGCTAGTGCTGGGCGGCACAGCAGGGGATTACCTGTGGGCCTCGGCCAACAGAGGGGTGAGTGCGGCTATATGGTTGGTGGGATGCTGCATGTGCGGGTTCAGGCTAAGGGTGGGACTGAGCAGTGCAGTTCGGAAGAGTCTGGAATCCAGATGATGGCTTTGCTTTGCAGTATGTGTTTGGAAGCTCGGGTGCTGTTGTGACAGATGGATGCCTTGCCATGCCGTACCATGCCGTGCCATGCCGTGGCATTCTGTGCCATGCCGTGTCATGCCGTGCCATGCTGTGGCTTTCGGTGCCATGCTGTGCCATGCTGTGGCATTCCGTGCCATGCTGTGCCATGCCGTGTCATGCCGTGCCATGCTGTGGCATTCCGTGCCATGCTGTGCCATGCCGTGTCATGCCGTGCCATGCTGTGGCATTCCGTGCCATGCTGTGCCATGCCGTGTCATGCCGTGCCATGCTGTGGCATTCCGTGCCATGCTGTGCCATGCCGTGTCATGCCGTGCCATGCTGTGGCATTCCGTGCCATGCTGTGCCATGCCGTGTCATGCCGTGCCATGCTGTGGCATTCCATGCCATGCTGTGCCATGCCGTGTCATGCCGTGCCATGCTGTGGCATTCCGTGCCATGCTGTGCCATGCCGTGTCATGCCGTGCCATGCTGTGGCATTCCGTGCCATGCTGTGCCATGCCGTGTCATGCCGTGCCATGCTGTGGCATTCCGTGCCATGCTGTGCCATGCCGTGTCATGCCGTGCCATGCTGTGCCATGCCGTGTCATGCCGTGCCATGCTGTGGCATTCTGTGCCATGCTGTGCCATGCCGTGTCATGCCGTGCCATGCTGTGGCATTCCGTGTCATGCCGTGCCATGCTGTGGCATTCCGTGCCATGCTGTGCCATGCTGTGCCATGCCGTGTCATGCCGTGCTATGCTGTGGCATTCCGTGCCATGCTGTGCCATGCCGTGTCATGCCGTGCCATGCTGTGGCATTCCATGCCATGCTGTGCCATGCCGTGTCATGCCGTGCCAGGCTGTGGCATTCCGTGCCATGCTGTGCCATGCCGTGTCATGCCGTGCCATGCTGTGGCATTCCATGCCATGCTGTGCCATGCCGTGTCATGCCGTGCCATGCTGTGGCATTCCGTGCCATGCTGTGCCATGCCGTGTCATGCCGTGCCATGCTGTGGCATTCCGTGCCATGCTGTGCCATGCCGTGTCATGCCGTGCCATGCTGTGGCATTCCGTGCCATGCTGTGCCATGCCGTGTCATGCCGTGCCATGCTGTGGCATTCCGTGCCATGCTGTGCCATGCCGTGTCATGCCGTGCCATGCTGTGCCATGCCGTGTCATGCCGTGCCATGCTGTGGCATTCTGTGCCATGCTGTGCCATGCCGTGTCATGCCGTGCCATGCTGTGGCATTCCGTGTCATGCCGTGCCATGCTGTGGCATTCCGTGCCATGCTGTGCCATGCTGTGCCATGCCGTGTCATGCCGTGCCATGCTGTGGCATTCCGTGCCATGCTGTGCCATGCCGTGTCATGCCGTGCCATGCTGTGGCATTCCATGCCATGCTGTGCCATGCCGTGTCATGCCGTGCCATGCTGTGGCATTCCGTGCCATGCTGTGCCATGCCGTGTCATGCCGTGCCATGCTGTGGCATTCCATGCCATGCTGTGCCATGCCGTGTCATGCCGTGCCATGCTGTGGCATTCCGTGCCATGCTGTGCCATGCCGTGTCATGCCGTGCCATGCTGTGGCATTCCGTGCCATGCTGTGCCATGCCGTGTCATGCCGTGCCATGCTGTGGCATTCCGTGCCATGCTGTGCCATGCCGTGTCATGCCGTGCCATGCTGTGCCATGCCGTGTCATGCCGTGCCATGCTGTGGCATTCTGTGCCATGCTGTGCCATGCCGTGTCATGCCGTGCCATGCTGTGGCATTCCGTGTCATGCCGTGCCATGCTGTGGCATTCCGTGCCATGCTGTGCCATGCTGTGCCATGCTGCAGTGCCATGCCATGGATCAAGGGGCTTGCTGCGACATGCCATTTCATGTGATAAAGCCGTCATCTTCTGTTTCCATTCCTCGTGCGTTTAAGTGGTCTGAAAGGGCATTACCACCGTTGCTGTGGCCGTTGTTTATCCCTGCCCCTCCCACTGCCTGTGACGTTGGTTAGCAGAAATCATTTGAGGAGGCAATGGCAAGAATAGGTACCATGAGGGCAGCACCTCCTGTGGCAAATGCTGACAGTTCTGATGCCCAAGACACCGGATGGGGCTCATCGCCCTCGTAGATTTTCTTCTT